ACTGTATTAAAACAGTGACCTATTACAGTAATTTGGCAGTTTGATTGCTTGAATTAAAAGTAAAAGGTCTTGTACTCACAGGACTCAATAGAAAGAAATATTTCTTAACATCAATTAAAGATAGTTTGAAGCATATTCATACCATTGGATTATCAACTATATATTTACATAAAACAATAGCAATTACGTTACTATATTGCCTGCGAATATAAAGTTGCAATTGTTCTCTAGCTTCTAATAGATTTTGATCATGATGTGATTCCATGGAACTATAAAATAATACATGATATGTTATATGTAAATAAATATACACATACTAAGAAGTAAGAATCATTTTTGTTTTGGTTCATTCCATGTTTTATATCGACTACTTTTGCCATAATTGATAACTGTGACTAAAATGTTTTTCAATGTTGCCGTCTTTCACAAATACATTTACAATTTTGCCATGAAGCAATGGCGATACTAGCTCATAATGTCTTATTTGGAATTGGTGGAACTATATTTATATATGAATATGCATCAAAATCTTAATTCCACACACAACATGATATATTTAACAGCAAAATATTGAAAAATCGCAATGGTTTGTCCATAGTTGTCATATGGCCGCCCTTCATACGGGTCGACAAATATTGATATTTTCAGAAAAAATAATTAAATTTTGCCTACCCGTTATTCACAATATGAAGCTCCAACGATCTGGCATCGTTGACAACAAGTTCCACACTTAAAAACCCAAAATTGACTGCATAAAAGAGGATTTATGGTCAACTTTGTCCATTTCCGCAATACAAAATATACAAATTATCACGCTCCGTGGGAACGACCAATATGGCCGCCACGCGTAAATGCGACTGCGATCAGGCTTCAATTTTCGCCCGGCTACAGGGTGGGATGTGCTATCTAGTGTATATGAGATATCTATGCGTCAGGCGTATATGTAAGGGACCAGTCATAAAGTAGAAGGGCGGGGGGGGGGGGAGTGCTGAGAAAATCGTATATTTGGTTTCTGCACTTTTGGTAGCCTACCCCTTAATAGCTGCACAGAAACTTGTGGTCCACCTTTCAATTGGTGCTGGAAAATTATGACCCACCCTTTCAGAAACTCGAAAGATACCAGTGTTCTATTTTTCTGTTACCAAATAATTCTGTCTTACAATACTCAATAGCTATTCAAATGGTGCAATTAAAATTTAGGGCCTCTTTTAAGGATGTGTAACTGGAGAGGACATGGAAAAGTTCCAGTCGGCAAGTCTGTATCACTGCAGCTACCAGCATATATATATACATGATTTAACTAATATTAGTATATGTCATATGGTAGCAGATTAGGCTGTAACTAGGATTCTGAGAGAAACAAGTCAACCACCCAAGGTGCGAGCTTTTAGAGGTGTAAGTAATAAGTTATTTCTCGCATTTGAGGAGTTTTCTAACGAGAAATTAACCTTATAAACACTGACACAACTGCAATTTCAGTCTCCTAAATGTAATCCAGTCCGAATAAGACAACATGGTGTAATGATGTGGTAATTAAAATGTGTGTGGTATAGTATTATCATTTACAACACTTCAAATTCTACAGTACTGTATTACATGTATTGGTGTACTTGAAATCGACACATTTGTCTTCTCGGTGTCACTGAAGAGCAAGACAAGGTTGTCTCTTTGGAGTATTGTTGCTTGGAAAAACTAAACTAGAATTTCGTCCTAAAATGCCATTTCATGCCTTGTTCCATGAGCAAATTATTTCAGTCATGGTTTAGGTTTCTGGCGATGTTTAAATGCCAACTGGAGGAACCAGTAAGAGGGCTGGGGGGATTTCCTCCCCAGTCCATATGTTAAAAGAGGCCCTGAATTAAATACAGAAAAGCCTTTCTTTGCATGGAACTTCCTATGCAAACTGCATTATGCAGTATTTTTCTCATAGTTAGAGACCTTTAGTTTGACATTTAGAGCTCTAAATGCCAAACCTCTAACAATGATTGTGATATAACTACGCTCTTGTAGCAATTACACTAATTTTGTTCAGTGGCGAAGCCAGCATTGTGTTAGTGGTCATGCAAACGAGCGCCGAAGGCATGAGACATCCTAGTGGGTCCGGGGGCATTCCCCCCTGGAAAAGTTTTGAAATGTATATAGACTCCCAGAAATGCATTTGCAGCAATCTGAGTCAGAAGTCTGAACAGTTGTTTACATTTCGAAAACTAGATACAATTTTATCCACATATACAAATGGAACATAATGACAAATAGCTGCTAATACAGTCAGTATATAAATAATAATCTAGAATATAGGTACAATATGCAGACTTGGAAAATATAAAGCATGAACCTTGATCAATTTCCTTAATTTAAAATCAATCGCCAAATTTATTGAAATATTAGATACAGAAAGGAATTAAGCATTATCTGATGTTTGAGTTGAAATCAGTTTACTGTCAGTTTAGCCCAATTCTGCATTCATATTTGGCTATTGCCAACATTGGATATTTTCCAATGCATGTGGAGTATGTACCAAATGGTAAATACAATTTAACAAAATATATTGAAATTTCTTTGTTTGTCACAAACAAGTATATATCAAATATGTTGCTAAATCACAATTGCTAAAATATTTGTGTTGTGTGTTGAAATGTATAAGCTTTGCAGCGCTTTTTATAGAACTACATTGATATTGTATTTCATACAGTATATAGCGCTCGGTGCTTTATAATTATACGCCTATGCTCAGGTTGAAGGCTTAAATATTCAAGACAAAATAACAAATACTAAATACTAGCTTATTTAGCCTAAGCCATTCTTTCTTTGAATACCATGACATTTGAAAACCTTTCTGCGCCGATCGGGCATGTCTAAACATCTGGTGTTGTTCTCTGCTTATAAACAATAATATTCTGCTGAGCAGAAAATTTTTTTTTACCAATTCCCAAGCTTCCAGTATAGAAGAAGTCAACATGCTTGAATGACCTGAAGATGTGTTCATTCAGACTGAAAGCTTTGAGCTAAGAGGTTGTAATCAGGTTGTGTTGCCTGTTTAGTCGTGCAAATCGAAAATTGCATGACCAAGGCATAAAAAACGGCTGCATTGCATTAGCGAAAATATCCTCTAAAGAAATACTTGGGTGTAGAAGTGCAACGATAAAGTATAATTCTATTCTAAACAATTATACTGAACTGATTTTTAAACATTTTTTGGGAAATTTTTAGTCATGAACTGCATGACCTGCATCTACTTCGGAGCGAGTCAAGAAAGCGGAACAGAGAGAATTCCCACATGATTAAGGTGGATAGATTTCTTGACATAGGTTTGTGTTATATATCTTTGTTTTAAATATACTGAGATTCTTCTGGGCGGTATGGTGGTCCATTGCAAGGTACTATAGCCCAAAGTTGACTTTCTAATATCAGATTACGTGGCCTGACGTGGTGGCAATCGTTGGCAATTTATTGGCTAAAAGTGAATCTACTTTATATTTTTTTCCATTTATTTTGATAATTTCCGAAGCTAAGAATATTGTGATCATCAACTGACAATTTTTGGATCGTTTGGTATCTTCCTGTGGTCATAATATCAGATTATATATATCTGACCGCCTGATATACGAAGGGTCTCACAGTTTGTAGACATCGCATTTTTCTGATTGCTTATTTAAATATCATCATAATAATTATTACAGTGCTTGGCCTTGGTCCTTGGTATTGCTTCATACTATACAAGTTATTTATTCTCAAATATATACTGTGTTCTCACAATTATTTTCAATATTTTGTGTCTTGACTGTTGGGATTTGTTTTGACAGGGCTAACGTTTCGTAGCAACAGTAAATTTTAATTTTGCGTGGGACTTTGTGGCTTTATAACTTTTATTATTTCAAGTTCTTTCAAGGACTTTATTTTATTGTGGTGGCTTACAAGTTAATCAATTCTGCTGATGTTAAACTGTTTGCTATCTATCGGCTAGTCTATACTATTGTATATTGATTAATTTTTCTTTCATGGGCATGGTTTTCCCTAACACTGCAACAAAATATAATTTCTAGTATTTTCCGTATTAATTACAAATCTCCACAAGTGCTATCGACCGCTGCCTGCTAAATGATCTAATCAACAAAACTGAACTGTCAACGCATGCTAGGGTGCACACACATGCACCAAGGCATTCTGCCGAAATTTTTACATTCTGACCATAAAAATCAAGATTAGATTACAATTTATTGGAAAGTGGAAGATAAGCTTACAGTCTATACCTTTGTGAGTTTTGCGAACAGTTTCTGTATTCCTTACTTGTCTTAACAAGGCTCGAAGTGTCATGGTTTTGGTGTTTTTAATTGCAATTGAAATCAATTCTGTTGACATTACGCACACACAAGCGTGATACGCCAGACTGTTTGCTGACGTGAAAGAAATTTTCTGTTGAGGAATTCACACAATTCTTGGAGTTGTTGTCATTTTCGTGTGTAAAACATTTACTAATGACTTGCAAAATGGTTGTTTTCAACTGTAAATATCGCGGTAGATTGTCAAAAGTTATCATTGAGATTCTTATGTTCATTTCAATAATTTGGTTGGCTAATAGATCAGAAGCTAAACTTGTGTGATTCGATGAAAGATCCACAACTGCGCCTGGAATCTGCTATGAATGACGTACATTAAAAGAAAGTATGTTTGTCAAGAAATACCGATGTCCTTCACTTGTTTTCGATTTAAATTTAAATTCAGAAACTCCATGAATTCCACTCAGTTTACGTGGACAAAACACGGCTATCCTTGTCTGTCCTCACCCAACTCCAATCGAGTTGTAGACCTAACAATATGTATGGATGTTGCATCTAATCCAATTACGCACAGTTTAAAAGTTCTCTATCTTAATGCGAGGAGTCTGAAATCTTTCATTCCTTTTGAAGAAACCTCACTCAAGGTATGCAAGATAACACTTTTGCAACAACTAGTTCATGGGAGCAGTTATGATGTGGTGTGTATATGCGAGACCTGGTTAAATGACTGTATTCTCGACAGTGAAATACTACCGGGTTACAACAAATTTTGCAAAGATCGAACGAACAAGATTTGGTGGTGGCGTTTTAGTCAGCATTAAGTCAGACTTGCAAGCCTCGCACCGGACAGATCTTGAAAGACCAAACTGCAAGCTTGTTGTTGTACAACTTAAACAAACGAACAGTAAACCAGTGACCCTATACACCTTCTATCGTCCACCTAATGTTGCACCTGATGCCTTGCACAAACTGAATGATTCACTCCAAAGTAAGTCAGAAAATGATGACATTGTAGTTGTAGGAGACTTTAATCTTCCGGGCATGACATGGTCTGAGGATCACACAATACCAATGAACTGAAGAGGACATATGGAAAATAATCTTTTTTGTTCAATGACAATTTTCTTCAACAGCATATCACAGGATCTATGCACCTTGGAGGAAATAATATGGATTTGTTGCTATGTAATCAACCTGAAGTAATCCGAGATATTAGGATGCTGGATTATTGTGATTTCCCCAGTGATAATTTTCCAGTCGAGTTCTCAATTACACAAACTTTCAGGCGAGCTCGTTGTATCCGACTTAATGTTTATGATTTCAATCATGGAAGATTTCAAGAACTTCGGGCGTTCCTACAGGGAACACCAATTGAAATGGATCTCACAGAAAATATTGATGAGTGTTGGATGCAATGTAAAAGTAATTTTCAAGCAGCCGTTGATCAATTTGTCCCTGTTAAGATGATAACCAATAAAAATTCTCCACCATGGATTGACTGAGAGGTTTGATATCTCATTCGAAAGAACTATACGGCACTGGGAAAGTACCATTTGGATAAGTGAGATTCTTGGAAATTAAAACTATGAACGATCAGTCAAAATGTTAAAAAATTAATCAGGTGAAAGCAGTGTGAATATCTTCATAAGATTGAATCATCGTTCTGTTCCAATCCCAAAACATCTTGGTCTTACCATAAAGCTATGCTTCACAATCGAACAGATCAAAACACTCGCATAACATATAACAGCATCACAGCGAAAACCTCGCATGGAAAAAGCAGAACTTTTAAACTCATACTTTGCGTCTGTTTTTCAAACTTCACGGTCGAACAAAAGCATGGAGAACGATGTTTACAATGTCACTCCATCTAAAACTCAGGTAGAGTTGTACGATATTACTGTTAGTGTGGAAGAAGTCGTAAACAATTTATGCAATTTAGATGTAACCAAGGCACATGGTCCTGATGGAATTCACCCTCGCCTATTAAAGGAATGTAGTGAACACATTGGACCTAGTTTGTGTGCGTTATTCAATCATTCTATGAACTGCGGCAGAGTACCCATAGAATGGAAGGCTGCGAACATCACACCTGTTCATAAGAAGGAGTCAAAAGAAGTAGCTGAGAACTTTCGTCCTATCTCGCTGTTGTCGATTGTTAGCAAGATTCTCAAACGCTCTGTATGCAGCAATCTGTACAACCATATATCCCATCTTATTGCTGATGAACAACATGGCTTCATCAGAAACCGATCGTGTGTGACACAACTTCTTTCTGTTTTCCACGCTATCGGCAAGAGCTTGGACAAGAACATCCAAACAGATATTCTATATTTAGACTTTGCCAAAGCATTCGACTCTGTTGACCATGACATTCTCCTTGCCAAACTAAAAACATATGGGGAAAATGGAAACTTGTTAAATTGGTTCACCGACTACCTCCACGGCCATGTTCAGAGAGTCGTTGTAGATGGTGCAGCATCTGATTGGGTGACTGTAACGTCTGGTGTTCCTCAAGGAAGTTTACTTGGTCTTATACTTTTCGTTATCTTTATCAACAATGTCGCTAATGTTATATCTGATGCGTCACAGACAGCACTGTATGCTGATGATTTGAAATTTTACAAGAGCATATCCTGTCTCGGTAGCTGTGAAAGCTTGCAACAATCCCTGAATCATCTGAGTATGTGAAGCCATAACAGCAACATTAGTTTTAACACATCGAAGTGTAAGGTATTGACAGTAACCCAAAAAAGTAATCCACTATGTTTTGATTACCATCTTGGAAATACAACGCTGGTCCATGTTAGAAAAGAAAAAGACCTCAGATGTATCATTACCAACCACCTCACTTGGGATCAACAAGTCCTTGTTGTGGTGTGCAAAGCCAACAAAATGCTTGGACTCTTATGTAGGACATGCCCCTTGCTGACCAACACAAAAGTGCAGCGTTACTCGTACCTCTCCCTGGTGAAGTGCCACCTTGATTACGCTACCCAAGTCTGGTCTCCAGCACTCACTTCACTGAAGATCAAAATTGAAAATGTTCAAAGAAGGGCAACGAGGTGGATCCTGAAGCAACGAAAAGGTGAACAGTCGTACAGTGCCTCTCTTTAGGGCAGTTACTAAGAGAACATGGCCCTTAGATATGCACAATAAAAACTTTTTTGCAGAAATGAGAACTCTGTATGTAATTACTCTGTGTCAGAGCTGGTGACTTAATAAATCTATTAAGTGGAACCTATTGTAATCCACAGGGGGCTTATAACAATAAAAACACCATTAAAGGACCAAAGGTTTTGCAGAACTATAATTCAGGGTGTAATTTTCCAAGAAATCAACATTGTTTTAAGGACAAAATATTTTAGGTGCCTGGGAATTTAAAATAGCATATTTATTTAGCTTACTAAGTTTTTATTTTACACGTACAGTACAACAACAGTAATATGATCTATTATTAGCAATTCAATTTCAGTTCCTAGGGGCCTAAAATCTTTTATGCTTAACTCAATTCGATCCGCCAATATTAATTTCCGACGTATATGACGGGAAGATTAAATATTAAAGAACTTCGCGAGTATTTGCAGTAGACATACGAAAATACCACCAAAAAATTCCGCTTGATCGATACTATAGATTCAGAAATATTCATATAATTTTATTGTTTCTCGCTCAATTTCAAGCGAATTTCTTACCTTGAAATGATCAATTTTGCTGTTGCATTTTGAATGTTCCGCCTGATTCAAATGCTCGTCTTTTTGCTTCTTTTCAACGTATAATAATAACAAATATACCAAAAGAATCGCCATCTTCCATTCTATAGCTCGGAGCAGTCTCGGGAAATTGCAAAATAATCTAAGCCTAATATGGCAATTCTCGTGATCGGAAAGTGTTCGGCCAACTTCGGACGCCAAATTCTTGGTAAAGCATTACAGTTTCCTGGTAAAAGACTGCAGGAATCACTTCCGGAGTGTTTGTTTACCCTAGATACGGATTTTGATTGGCTTAGGCAGAAAAACAAATCTTTTAGAGCAATTTTCCTGATTATCGCGCACGGGAACGCACAAGCGTTGAAATGTATTGTTGTAGTTTTGTTTGAATCGCATTCTGAAGACGTTTTTGGCTTTATTTTGCAAACTGATAGTGCTAGCAATGATGGAATGTCTTCGTATGAAGACAAGTATCTCAACCTGGCATTGGGAGTCGTGTCTGGAGTTTCAAGGCAAGTATTTGTATCATTTCTAGACAATTTCTATTTCAATGTTTTGCCGTTGCCATGGCGTTGTAAATTTATTTGTATTTAGTATAGCTTCACTAGTACAACCAAGTATGTCCTCATATCGCTTTTTTGTGTTGAAATAATCGTTTAATACTGAAATTGACAAATATAAATGGTATTTATTTATATTGTTGACGAAAATTTATGGTGTTTTAGGCATAAAAATCTCTGATTCCTAGGCGAAGTAAAATGAGCCTGGAGCACATGTTTGGTTGTTTGTTACATACATAATAGCCAAGTATTCATACTTATATCTTACTAGTTGGCTCTTATTATAATTTTAAGTGGCACCATGTCTATAAAAGTTTTTATTCGCACTGATGAATATATTGATCCTGTTCCTATCTGCTGTTCCTGTTTCATAGCCTCAGGGAAGTAGAGTTCTGATGAGTCATGAGAACCCCACTCACCAACCCAGAGGGAAGGTAGGGGGATGAGTAGAGGTAGAGGGAAGCCCAGCCATTAGGACCTAAGGTTTCGAAAGCTCCCTCTCTAGCATCCCCACTAGGCCCCATAGTACATGACGGATATGATGATCCTGACGCCAGGAATGTTCTCCCAGATTTTGCTCCTGACTGACATGTCCGGGATCCATTTCGATCAACTGTGAGCTTGAGTTCATTCAGCTCAATGAACTGTGAGCTTGAGTTCATTCGACTCTTTTTTACTAAGGGAATGCTTCAGGAGGTAGTTTCCTGGCCATACCAATACATATGCCCACATACAAATAACTCAAAAGTTATCCCCATATACTAATAAAGAAGGGTCTTGCAGTCCACCAACCTTGAGAGGTTGATTGCCTTTTAGTATATGCAGGTTTGCTAAAAGTTGACAGTGAGATTGAAAATTATTGGAGTGTAAAAACCTTATATCATGGTCTGTGGGCAATAGACATAATTTCTCGGGTTAGGTACAAAGCGCTTATGGCGTTTGTGAATATGGTAGATCCTGTACTAAAGACTACAGCAATAAACTGCATCAACAACTGTACCAGCTGTCACAGAATATTGTTGCAGACAAACACACTGTCAAATCAAGAAATAGGTTGGGGGTTAGGCAGTTCATGAAAGCTAGATGACCTACTATGTGGGGAATAAATCTGTGGGTTGCTGCAGACAATCCTAATGGTTATATTGCGACTTTGAAATTTATACAGGAAGAAGTCCAGATATTC